TTTTCAGCAAGCAGACGTCAAGTTGAGCTGCTCGGTCTCTTGGAGAGAGGCAGCGCTGGATGGAGAGACATTTGCTCAGGTCTTTGAGAACCTCTTGCGAGCTTTTGCCAGGGGCGAGATGAACGGCGATGTGCTTGTCTGGCAAGCTTTGGAGCGTACTCGTGAGAGGATGTGAACAGCTAAGCCTGGATCCTTCCGCTGGATTAAATCTATGCCCAGCGCCTCGTTCACCCCAACGAGTCCACAATCTTTTTGCACCCCTTGCGCGCGCCTTCATTCTTGCTTTGCAGACGGTCCAGAGGAGAGCGCACGAAAATGCTTCGATTTTTGACCTGCACTTTGCGCAATCTTGCGTTGTTATTTGCAGCCAACTTTTTTTGCTCGTGATCGACTCTTCCAGACCACACAAAAGGCTAGCCTTCAGACATTTGTTGCATCATTGCACATCTCTCACCTCAAGTTCTAGTTAGGAGTCCTTGTATGCAAATAGCTGATCAGAAATCGCAATGATCTGTGAAGTGAGTTCATACGAGCACCAACATGCTCATGATAGGTGCACGGTCGTGTCTAACGGAGTACGTGAGGCCAAGCTTGACGTTATCAAGCCGATTGAGAGGATGGCTTCGCGATAATTTACAGCTTGAAGAGCTCTACCGGGCGCTGGGCATCTTGTCACGGTGCTAGGACCAGTCTTTGATTGCTGCGCCAGCAAAGAATCGTGTAATCCTTGTTATTGCAGCCACTGCAACAAAGAACATGGTGTCAAGTCTTTTGAAACAAACTTGAACTGACCCTCAAGAAAATCGAATCAAGTCTGAAAACTGGTTGAGAGAGCTTTCAAGGAAGCAGCAGGGAGCGGATTTGCTTTGGTCAGCAAGCAGGCTGAGCTTGGGAAAAAAGGCAGCAATGGCAACACTGAGTTCATTTGGCAGGCCAAAGACCTGTATACAGACAAAGAATTGCTGTAGGATGCTGTGGACTGGGTGGGACTGCTACTCAAAGTGAGACGGATGCTCAAGGAGCAGTGTTAGTTGCTAACCAGTAACACTCACAAACTGGCAATGCCATGACGATGATGATGGCGATGACAACAATGACAATTCTAGTGACCTTGGTGATCATGGCAGCACTTTGCAACAATGCGCAGTACTGAGCGGCACATCGAGAATTGGTGGCTCAGCAGCACATTGCACTGCGGTGCGCACTGCGCTGTTCAAAGCCACCAATCTCCAGACAGCACTGTACAAGTGCAAGGAGCTACCAATGTCTGGCTTTTGCATGCCCACGGGTGCATTTCCAGTGCCTACTCTGATGTCTTTGGCTCAAAACACAGGACCTGCAGTGCAAAAAGGTCAGAAGCAAGTGTGCACAGACAATCAAGCAGCAGGCAAGAAGCGCGCTTGGATGAATGGCCCACTGGACATCCTTTGCAGGTATTTTGCGTCCCATGCCATCAATGGTCAGTGCCCTCAGAGAATCCACTGTGCAAGCTTCATCAAAGACCATGTAGCAGAGTCTTGAATAGAGAGCAAGTCAATTTGCCTCCACATTTGGCAGCATGGGGTCTGAGATTGCACGAGCTGCACATCTGCTGCGCAAGCCTGAAGAAAAGGCGGGAAAGAGGTCTGTTTGCTGGGCTATTGGGGTCCGCTGCGCTATCCTGGTGAGATTTGGCTAAGCTCTCCTCTTACAACTTGGCTGCATTGTCCTTCTGCAGCTCCATGCTCAAGTCTTCATAGGCCTGTTGAGCTGTCAGCTGGTCTGGCAGACAGCGGAGTCATCTGCACTCCAGCACTGGTGTTTCATAATTGCACGTGGACCCAGACCAGATGTGATTGCCCTGCACCATTCGAGCAAGCAGCTGGAGCATGGCTGCTTGACAAGTGCAAGTGTTGTGCTTGGTGATCCAGCCCATCATGTTGTTGAATGTGTTGTCAGTGACTGGTATCCAGGATCAGATGTCTTGCAAATCAATGCAATGTGCACAAGACCTGTGCTACCTGAAATTTCTGGCCAGAGGTCACTTGCATCCTTGCAGTCAGCAAGGCTGGCAGCCAGGAGCAATTGCTGCAATAGAAGCTGAATTCAAGTCTGTCCTGCCCTGCAGCTCTTGATGCAGCAGCATCTGCCAAGTGGCGCTTAGAGCTACCAGAAGAAGCTTTGATTGAGCAAAGTGCAGGAGGTCACTCCTCCAGCATCTGCCCACTGGATTGCAGAGCGGGACAGAGTAGCAAGAAAGCGGTGCGTGGCACACCTGGCCTGCCCTCCCAGATCAAAGAGTCAGACTCAAGGCAAAGCAGCATCTTTGAGCCTCAAAGAAGCCTTGGCAGCTAGATGCCTGACAAGTCTCCAAATGGCTGTCCATAGGCAATGATGTCAAAGCAATGGTCAACAGCAAGCAGCTCCTTCAGGAATGTGTGGAGTGCACCACGGCCCATGACATACTCTGCTCTCTGATCACTGCCAAACAATCTTCCCAGGTGAAGGCTATTGGCAAGGAAACATGCACAGCATGGGAGAGGAAGATGATGGCAGGGTCTGAGGGGAGTCCCTTCAAAAAAGAAGGTAGACCACTCATTGCTACACCAGCATGACTTGCAACTTTGCTTGACACTTCTGAGAGCACATTGCTGCACACCTACACTCAACATTGGTCCACTAGAATGCTTGCTGCCTGAGCTGCAGAACAGTGTGCTTACAGAGTGTTTGCCATTATCAGCAAAGCAACATACAAAAACTCCAGGAATGCCCATCTGCTGGGATGTCTAGACTTCATATGGACCAATGTACTTGGAACCTGGCAGGGTAACCACAAGTATGAAAAGGTTTCCCCTAGGATTCTGGGTGTCAAAAGCAACAACTGCTCTGGTGCACTGTATGTGGCACTCACTGGCCACAAGGTGTCAAATGTTGTAGTATCCAGGTGTTAAACCGGTACTGTGGAAAGTAGCAGGTTCGCCGGGGCTATTGGTCAACGATAGGCTCGGCGAGGGGTTGGCTGAACCTTACGTTACATCATCGACCCAGCACTCTGTGCGCATACTTACATAGACCGTCTGTCTAGATCTCTACACCGTAATTGGCAGAGCGTCTATAGAATCAGGGTTATGAATAGTATTTGCGATGAGGTACTCGGTCAACGAGTGCCTCACAAAAAGAAGACTACAAAACGGGATCGCGAGGTTCGAGTGATCTAACTGCGGCGTGTCTCTCGTACGAGTGGCTC